CACACACACACGCCCCAGCCAGCCGCCCGGCCACCCGCCCCGGCCGCCCCGCCTGCCGGCCCCCACCTGCATGACCGGCGGAAGGCAGGCGGGCACGAACCCAAGATCCTCCCCGCAGACCAGCATGTCAGTGGCGTCCAGCAGCACGGGCAGCGTGCGCAGCGCATGGCCGCGCCACAGCTCGTCCTGGCGCCTGGGTCGGGTTTTACGCGGCAGGGGGTGCGGGCGGGTGTGTGCGAGTGTGGGTGTGCGCGCGAGCGTGTAGGCCTGGAGAGGTGGGTGGGCAACGGCTGCAGCAGGACGGCGTACCACAGTTGTCACCCCCCATCAAAACTCAAGGCGACGATTTGACGGACGATTATGAGTGATGTGCATCATGCAACAGATCGTGCGCGTGACCTCCCGTTCCAAGGTAGTTGTGCGCCCGACCGCGTTCCCCCTCCCTCCAGCCCATCCCCTCCCCCCCAAAAGACCACCAACGGCCCCTGAAGTACTCCCCCCAGGGCCCCTCTTCAGACCCCGCCTCCCCAACCCCACCACCCAGAACCGAGGAGTGCGTCTTCAAGTGGGGTTGGGACTTCTGCACGCACACACACACACACACACACGTGCGCACACACACAGACTCACATGCACACACACACACACACGCGCGCGCGTGCCACACGCATTAGATGACATTACATCACGCTTTTCCAGCAGCGATGGGAGAAATCCTGGCTCCCCATGAGGAGGGGTAACCCCCCCAACCTTGAACGCCAAAGGAGTAAGTGGGTGCGGCCAAGTTGGGAAAAAGCAAGAGGCACCACATCACCCCCCCCCCAAACACGCCCACCTGAAGAAGTACTCCTCGTGCATCTGCTGCAGCACCGCCCTCTGGCTGGGGTCCAGCTCCTGGTAGCTGCTGCTGCTCATCAGGGAGAAACTGGTGACGTCATTTGGGGGGGGGGGGGTGGTGAGGGTGTGAGGTGGAGGTTTTGCGAGGGTGGAGGAAACGAGAATGAGAGGAGTGGAAAGGCACAAACTTTGGAGTCGTGTTGGGAGTTGTCGGCGGTGTTTGTTTCGCAGGTCGACGGCAGCTGGATGGGTTGGAGAGGGGTCTAAGGGAGGTTGTGCGGGGCTCATAATCGGGGGGCTGTCTGGGCAGGGTTGTGCGCGACAGCATCTGGGAATGGGCCGTGCTCAGCAGATCACATGCATGTGGTATCCATGGTTCTGATGCATAGCACACGTGGCCTACCGTGCCTGCACAGACAGCCGCCAGGAATCAAGGCATCGGGAACCACACCAGCTGCAAGCAGGAACACACACACACACGCGACACATGCGCGCGCGCACAAACACACACACACACACACACACACACACACACACACACTCACACGCACGCATGCACACACACTCGCACGCACAGCTTGAAACCCCAACCCTTCACAGCACAACCACCAAGCAAGCCACACACCGGGGGTAGAATGCGTCCGGGTCGACGTCATCCGTCAGCAGGCACACGTTCTGCCGCAGCGCCAGCAGGCCCGCCCTGGTGGCCGCCACCTCCCGCACCAGCCAGTCCGGGGAGCCCTCGCGCGGGGCGATGTCGGCGATGGCCTGGGACGGGGTTTGTGTGTGTGTGTGTGTGTGTATGTGTATGTGTATTTGTGTGTGTGTATGTGTATTTGTGTGTGTGT